GAGGGAGAGTCACAGGCCATCCAGCACATGGATAAGAAAATAGAAGATACAGTCTGAGAACAGTGTGTAGTTTCAGAAAACCAGACATTACAAATCAAGTTTTCAATTTACTGCCGCTGTTATTTCTGATAAACCACATACTACTAAGATCTCTCTCTTCCTCAGTGTCTCTTAACCTTAATATGTGTCCCAGTCAGATGATGAATTACCCATTGTATCCAGGGTATAAATCATATATGGAGTGAGTGTGTGCGCCTCCTCTTTATTATCCCCTGTTCATGTGCACAGCATGAACAATAACCTCTCTGCCTCGCACACATACACACAAACACGCACACACATGTCAAGCCCTCTATTATATTGTGATGTATTACCTCTGTAACAACTGTAACAAAGCAGCAAAACAAATGTGATATCTCAATTATTTTATTCTCTTCTTAAATTATCTATCAAAGGCGAGATTAAAGCCGGAGAGTTGACAGTTATCGGGGGCATTATTACCAAGGTAAGAACAATATCATCCTTCATCTCCTCCAATTTCAAAATTATCTGACTTGGGTTACAGAGGTGGGATTAAACAAAAAGATTGTTGAGCTGAGCATAAGTTAAATCAGATATTATGATTTTTTTCCCCCCTTTGCCTTTTTCTTACTTACTTTATTCCTCTTCCCTCAGTGAATGTTGATTCTGTAACATCATACTGCTGCCATTTTGCCCAGGGCAAACTCAAAAACACATTTAGTAACTTCTAGTTCAATAATGCTCTAATAACATAAAGTCAACAAAAAAATGTGGAATAGAAAAATAAGCTGAAAATGCTGGTTATTATTTCCGAGCTTTGGTCATGCAAAATAGGCAAAAAGAAAAATCCTTTGCAGCAATACAACAAACATATGAATATGCATTTTTAGTTCCAGATTAAGCATTATGCAGCACAGACAGTGAAATCCATTATTCCATCCAAAACATCCGACACAAACAGGTAAGAGGCAAGCATCCAGAGGACTGATTATGCAGAGTAAGAAAATAAAACAACAACAGAGAACAGAAAAAGGTGGGATTAGTTGCAGTCCAGACGGGCCAGACGCTGCATAAAACATTAAAAAAGAGAAGAATCTGCAGGATTGTTTAAATTTCTCACAGCAAGAAAGACCTAATTTACATAGGCTGTTTTCTAATCCCGTTATCTCAAGCTTTGCCAATTAGTTTTTGTGCCACAACGAGTTATCAAACTTCTCTTATCTTCAGGTCACAACTAACTATCTTGTTATCCTATGAAACTGAAAACTGTTTTGTCAGATCGTGACTTTAGATCTTGAGATTGCCATCAGAGCGTCTCGGGGTGGCGTTGCCCTTTATAGTCTGACTCATTGAAGAGAAACCAAAGCGGTGAAGACACAGTCAGAGAAAACGATTGATCAACGCTTCACATCCTGCTGTAATCAGGGTGGAACAGGCAGAAACTGCACTGACAGATAAAATTCAAAGTTTGCTTCAACTAACGGCTTTTATATTTGGCTGTCTTCAGATAATGAGATTACTAAACCTTGATCTTGAGAAATTGGAGTTTGATATATTTTGGTAATGATAATTAATTTGTGAAAATGTATGCAAGTACTAGTAAGAGAGTGGGAGTGGGTTCAAGGGTAGAGTAAGTTCAAGAGTAAAGTTCACTCCCCAAACTTAGTGTATCTGTCTCGTGTTTTTTTTTAAAGAAATCAATCATATTTTTTGTTTGGTTTGCTTTGTTGTTTTTTGTAGTTGTTTTACGAGGCCCATAATGCCGGACAGTTTTTGGAACTAGTGTTGTTAGCAGGCTCTTCTTGAGCATTCATACATTATGTAAACTGTCTGCGTTAATATATAAACATGTTGATGCATTTCTTTGTTCATAGAATATTTAAAAAGCTGATTTACTGAAATATTGCATCTTTTACATCCACACTTACATCAGCTAGCAGCCTTATTCTTCCCTGACTCGCCGGCACATTGCTTGTAGTACATTCATTATTGCATTAATATCACAACAATCTGCAGAATAGTGTAAAACTGTATGTGGGAAATAGTTTTGTGTCTAGTGGAAATCACACTATATAATTAAATATAATATATATATAATAAATATAATATAATTCAAACTTAAGGGAAGGTTGTTATGGGTAACTGTCAGTCATAAATCTCAACATCGCATTGTGCGGCCCTGCGTGCAAGCTGATTGGATGATATCTGTCAGGGAGGCGTGTTTAAAACAGACGTTCTACAAAAGATCTGTGTAAATACAAAAGAAAACTTTGCTCTAATCATTGCTCCATAGCACTACTAGTGGTAAGAAAATCTACAGGGGACCTTTAAGTGACATCAGTCCAAACCAAACACCTACAGAGAATAACCAGACAGTTAAACTGTGTGTACATGACTGCTAAGACTGAAACAAGGACAACGTTCACACTGTTAGTCTGATTCACTGCTTCAGATCAGATTTTTCTGTTGTTGACGTTGTTGTTGTTGTTGTTTGACTGTTCACGTTACATTTTTAAAGTGGCCCATTTCAGATTCTACTGTGAACAGTTCCCAGTCCTAAATTGACCTGCATGAAGAATGTCAATCTAGACTGGCATAAAAGTCTGAATGAATTCATTTTGATATGATTGTTTACACGGGGGTCACAGTGTGTGAAACAATCCGATTTTTGTGTGAGCGTAGTCAAAATGATGTAAAACAAAACAGTTCTGATCGGAGCAATTTGTTCTGTAATTACTTCTAAGTATGAGAAACTGAACTGAAAAAAAAAATAAAAATCATTCTTCGCTTTTACACATTGCTGCTCATCTGAGATTAAAAAACTGGTCACATCAGTTTTTTTCATTTCTTGTCCCCCTCCTTTCCTCTTTTCCTTCTTTTGCCCATCTTCCCTCTACCCGCCCTCTCATTTCCAGTCCTCACCTCTTCCCTCATCCACCCTTCTTTCTGCCTACATCACCTCGTCTCCCCGGTTATTCTACGCCGTCTCACTCCTCTCTCTTCTGCTAAGCCTTCATTTATTTTCACCTCCTCGTCTTTCCTTCCTTCTCTGCTCTTCTCCTGTGTGAAGTGGTTTCTGTTTGTTTGAAGCCGGGGCTTATTGAGCTTAGGTCTGGAGAGAGCATCGCTACGTCAATACTACGCACACACACACACACACACCAAGACAAACACCTTCTCCTCTTTCTCCCTCTCCTCTCCCTTCAACACTGTCTCTCTCTCACACACACACACACTGCTCAGTCATCAATTAAGGGTGTGTATAGATCTCTCCCTGCAGCAGCGGTGCTTGTTTGGTTTCTACATTGTTTTCTGTTCCAGCTCATACATCTCTGTCTATGACATACGTACAAACACACACAACCACCTAAACACACACACACAAACTTGAATTCTGCTACCCGATCTTATAGCAATCTTTTTAGAAGCTCAAGAACTTTATCTGCATTTTGAAAATATGCATGAAGGGACTTTTAGGCCCTGATGAGTTTAGTTCTTGACAGTTCCTGGAATTATCAGGTGAAAAATTGCAAAAAAAAAGTATGAATAAGCATCCTCAAAAAAGTGTGCGCACACACACAAACACACACACACACACACACACACACACACACACACCTACCCATATCATATCTCATAACACAC